AAAAAAAAAAAAAAATTAGCTGGGCATGGTGGCGTGCACCTGTAGTCCCAGCTACTCAGGAGGCTGAGGCAGGAGAACTGCTTGAACTCAGCGGGTAGAGGTTGTGGTGAGCCGAGATTGTGCTACTGCACTCCAGCCTGGTGAGAGCGAGACTCCATTTCAAAAACAAAAACAAAAACACCAATACCCTGTGCCGCCCCCCCACGGTAGGCGAAACCTCAGCAGCCAACATTAATCTAGCACCCCCTCTGTGGCAGGTGCTGAGGACTTTCCACGAACAATCTCCCTTAATCAGTCATCACAGCACACTGCGAGGCAGAAACACTGTGACCCCCTTTCCAGATGAGGAAACTGAATCAGTGTAATCCCACAGCTCACCAGTGGCAACACTTAAAATTTTTTTTTTTTTTTTTGAGACAGGGTCTTGCTCTGTCTCCCAGACAGGAGTACAACGGCATGATCACAGCTGACTGCAGTCTTCAACTCTTAGGCTCAGTTGATCCTCCTGCCTCAGTCTCCACTGTAGCTGGGACTACAGGCATGAGCCACCACATCCAGCTAATTTTTAAAATTTTTTGTAGAGATAGGATCTTACTTTGTTGTCCAGGCTGGTCTCAAACCCCGGGCTCAAGCAATCCTTCCACCTTGGCCTCCCAAAGTGCTGGGATTATAGGTGTGAGCCACCACGCCCAGCCGACACTCAAATGTGAACCCAGACCACTGAACCTCCATGTTCCCCTGCTGGGCACGGCCACTAAGAGACAGGAAATCCACAGTCCCTGTGGACCGTCCACCCCCACCACCACCTGGCCCACCACACAGCCCTCACCATTCTCCTGGGCAAAGCGAGAGGCCTCCAGGAAAGTGACCTCCCGCTCAGGGTCCAGGTCCTTCTTGTTGCCACAGAGGATGACCACGATGTTGGGGCTAGCCAGCGTGCGGGCATCCGTCAGCCAGGCAGCCAGTGAGTTGTATGTCTCCCGGCTGTGGAGAAGGGGGAGGGGAGGGAGGTGGTGCAGGAGAGGGGCCACCCATGCCCTGCCTCACCCGCTCCAGGTACCTACCTGGTGATGTCGTATACCAGCAGGGCTCCAGCTGCCCCTCGGTAATAACTCCGCGTCACCGACCTGTGGGGCCAGGGGGACCCAGTCACCCCCAAGGCTGGGGTCTGCCCTGAGAGTGCACCCCTCTGCGGGGAGACACTGGTGGTTCGGAGGCCCCCCTCTACTGCTGGCCCATGCCCCAAAACCTGGCCTTGGTCCGGTCGCCATGCAATTCCTGTCTTCCTGTATCCTTGCAGTCTGTCTCTCTTCGCCTCTCTCTGCTTCTGTCTCACTCAGCTGGCCCGCTGCCTGTGAGTCTCCCTGTCTTTCTCTCTCCCTGTGTCTCTGTCTTTTCATTGGTCTGTTTTCCTCTTCGTTTCTCTTTCATGTGTGTCTTTATTGATTGATTGATTGATTGATTGATTGACTGATTGATGGTCTTGCTCTGTAGCCCAGGCTGGAGGGCAGTGGCATTATCTTGGCTCATTACAGCCTCTATCTCCTCGCGGCTTGGTCTCCCAAGAGAGGGATCCTTCCACCTCAGCCTCTGGAGTATCTGGGACTACCAGTGTGCACCACTATATCTGGCTGGATAATTTCTTTCTCTTTTTTTTTTTTTTTTTAGAGGGAGTTTTGCTCTTCTTGCCCAGGCTGGAGTGCAAAAGCATGATCTCAGCTCACTGCAACCTCCACCAACCTCCACTTCCCAGGTTCAAGTGATTCTCCTGCCTCAGCCTCCTGAGTAGCTGAGATTACAGGTACCCACTACCACGCCTGCCTAATTTTGTATTTTTAGTAGAAACAGGGTTTCTCCACGTTGGTCAGGCTGGTCTTGAACTCCTGACTTCAGGTGATCCACCCACCTCAGCCTCCCAAAGTGCTGGGATTACAGGCATAAGCCACCTCACCCAGCCTAATTTCTTCATATTTTTTGTAAAGATAGGGTTTTGCTATGTTGCCCAGGCTGGGCTCCAATTCCTGGGCTCGAGTGATTCTCCTGCCTTGGCCTATGGGTCTTTTTTTTTTTTTTGAGTGGGAGTCTCACTCTGTCACCTAGGCTGGAGTACAGCAGCAAGGTCTCAGCTTACTGCAACCTCCACCTCCGGGGTTCAAGCAATTCTCCCACCTCAGCCTCCCGAGTAGCCAGGATTACAGATGCACACCACCACATCTGGCTAGTTTTTGTATTTTTAGTAGAGATGAGGTTTTGCCATGTTGGCCAGTCTGGTCTCGAACCCCTAACCTCAAGTGATCCACCCATCTCAGCCTCACAAAGTGCTGGGATTACAGGCCTGAGCCACCGTGCCCAGCCCTGTGTGTCATTTATTTATTTATTTATTTAGAGATAAAGTTTTGCTCTGTCGCCCAGGCTAGAGTGCAGTGGCGTGATCTTGGCTCACTACAACCTCTGCCCCCCAAAGTCAAGTGATTCTCTTGCTTCAGCTTCCCAAAGTAGCTGGGGTTACAGGCATCCACTGCCACATCCAGCTAATTTTTGTAGTTTTAGTGGAGACAGGGTTTGGCCGTGTTGGACAGTCTGGTCTTGAACTCCTGATCTCAAGTGATCCACCCGCCTCAGCCTCCCAAAGTGCTGAAATTATAGGCGTGAGCCACCATGCCCGGCTATGTCTATCAACTTTTCTGCAGGTATTTCCTGAAGACCTACTGTGAGCTGAGCCCTACGCATCCCTCCATCTCTCTTTTGGAAAGGCGGGATTTCTCGATGTTGCCCAGGCTGTTCTCAAACTCCTGGACTCAAGCGATTCTCCTGCCTTGGCCTGTGTGTCTTCAGTTCCCTACTTCTCACTGCCTTTTTTTCTGTTCCGTCTCTGTGGCTCTCTCGTGCTCACCCTTGTCTTCCCATAAATGCGTCCATTAATTCATTCAACTATACCTGTCCAACGTGCCCTGTCTCCCTCTCTGCTTCTGACCTCTGTTTTTTGGTGTCTTCTCCTCTCCCTTATTTATTCATTCATTCATTCATTCATTCGAGACAGAGTCTGGCTCTGTCGTCCCTGCCTCAGCCTCCCAAGTAGCTGGGATTATAGGTATGCGCCACCACTGCCTGGCTAAATTTTTTTTTGTATTTTTAGTAGAGACAGGGTTTCACCATGTTGACCAGGCTGGTCTTGAACTCCTGACCTCAAGTGATCCACCCGCCTCAGCCTCCCAAAGTGCTGTAATTATAGGCGTGAGCCATAGGCACCTGGCCTCCTTATGCCCCCTTATCTTTCTCTTCAAGTCTCTTAGTCTCTGTCTCTTCTGTTTTCCTTTCTGAGTGTGTGTCTCTCAAGTTTCTCCTTCTCTATTTTAGTGTCTCTCAGTCTCTATCCCTTGCCCCATCTCCAAGCCTCTCTTCCTCTATCTGTTTTTCTTTCTTTGTGATGGGGTCTCATTATGTTTGCCCAGGCTGGTCTCGAACTCCTGGGCTTAGGCAGTCTTCCCACCTCGGCCTCCCAAAGCACAGAGATTACCAGCATGAGCCACTGCACCTGGCCCCTACCTCTTTTCTCCTGCTGTCTCTTTCTCTCCCCAGTACTCCCTCTCTCTCTGCAGATATATGTACCTGCTAACTACAGTGTCTCTTCTCTCTCTCTGCCTTGTGTGCCCTCTCAGTGTTTCCAAGTGACTCTGCACACACATCTCTCTCTCTCTTTCCTTCTCTCTCTCTCCCCATCACCCTTGGGAGCCCAGCCCACCTACCGAAACCGCTCCTGGCCAGCCGTGTCCCAAATCTGTAGCTTCACAGTCTTCCCACCCACGTTGACCACCCGGGATCCGAACTCCACGCCGATCGTGTGGTTGGAGTCCTGTTTGACTGGGAGTGGGAGGAACAGAAGGGCAGTGCAGGGAGAGAGGTGGCAGCTCAGAGGATCCCCCATCCTCCAAGGCCCTCTCAGTCTCTACAAACCCATTCTCATTGCTGGAGTGACTAAGGCCAAGGAGAACCTAGTAAAGGACATATGACAAAGCAAAGGCCAAAAGGCCAGCATTGGACTTGTACTACCTATGGCCAGCCCTGCCCTCCCCAACAACTGCCCACCTGCCCACACCATGCGCAGCTCAGGGTTCCCAGGACCACTGCGGGAAACTCACACTTATTCTCAATGAACTGATGAAGGAGACATGATTTGCCAGTTCCTGCACTGCCGATCACCAGGAATTTGAAGAGGAAGTCTGACCAGATGGAGTCAAAATCAGGGATATCCACAAGGAGAGAAAGATACAGGGAAAAAGATGGAATCCAATCCAATCTCTCCCTCTAACCTTCATGGTTAGAGGGAAAGAAACACACACAGACACAAAGCAATAGATAACAGTAACAGATAGCTCTTATGTAGTACTTCCCATGTGCCAGGCACATTCTATATATGTTTTTCAACTTTTATTTTAGGTTCAAGGGTTACATGTGCAGGTTTGTCACATGGGTAAATTGTGTGTTGTTGTGGGCCAGGCATAGTTCTAAAGGTCTTTACTCACATCAACAGCTCACATTATCCTCAAGAAAACTCTATGAGGGAGGTAGAATAAAAATTATTCTCGGCCGGGCGCGGTGGCTCAAGCCTGTAATCCCAGCACTTTGGGAGGCCGAGGCGGGTGGATCACGAGGTCAAGAGATCGAGACCGTCCTGGTCAACATGGTGAAACCCCGTCTCTACTAAAACTACAAAAAATTAGCTGGGCATGGTGGCGCGTGCCTGTAATCCCAGCTACTCAGGAGGCTGAGGCAGGAGAATTGCCTGAACCCAGGAGGCGGAGGTTGCGGTGAGCCGAGATCGCGCCATTGCACTCCAGCCTGGGTAATAAGAGCGAAACTCCGTCTCAAAAAAAAAAAAAAAAAAAAATTATTCCCATTTTTCCACATGAGGAAGCAGGCCAGAGAGGTTAACTGAATTGCCCAAAGTGACACAGCTAGGCAGAAGTGAGATTCAAACCCAGGACAAGGGGCTCCAGAGTCCCACATCTTAGCTATTTCGTCGCTAAAATCTCTTGAAAGCTATTTAATCAAGGACTACTATCTGGCCCTTGTTCCTCTTCACCTCCTACCACCCTCTGACGAATTCACTCCACTATAGCTCCTGGCCTTCGGCCCATTCCCTGAAAATGACAAGCTGGGTCTCACCTCAGGGTCTTTGCACTCTTCTCCCTCCTCATCTATAGTTGCTGAATGAATGCGGCTCCCTCTGACTCCTAAATCAGCGCTTCCCCTGCCTCCAACCACCACCTCCTATGGTACATCTCTACTGATTTTGCACTTCCCGACCTCTCCTTCCCTCCCTCTGCCCAGACCCTAGCTTCATTCTCAAGCGTAAGCCCCACCCCTTGCCACTAAGTCCTGCCCCTAACTCAAGGACAGCCCATCCCCAACCCCATTCTAGAGCTCTCTCAAGCCAGATCAGCCCCAGGGTCCTGAGCTTCCATTCAGGGTTCCGTCTAGCCCATAAACCTGACTCCTGCCATTCATGCAGTTGGCCCCGCCCTTTTACTCAGGCTCCGCCCAGCTCCATTAAGGCCCACCTCTTCCCTCAGGGCCTCCCTCAACCCCTCAGGACCAGCTCCCTCAAATCCCGCCCCAGATCTATTTAACCCATGCACCAAAACCTCAGGCTCCACCCAAATCGAATAAGCTCAGCCTCGGACCCACTAAACCCCTCCCAGCATCCACTTAGGCTCTGCCTCCATCACACGAAACCCCGCCCCCTGATCTACAAAGCCCCGCCCCATTCCCACAGGCCGCATCCTCCCTGGGCCCAGACCCAGGACCCCGGCTTCGGCCCACCACCCTCACCGTAGGTCTCGGCCATGACTCGGTCGCGGCCGCTGAGGGCCGCAATATGGCGCCGCGGCCGCGCCTGCTCCTCGGCTGGCAGCCGCTCCACTCCGGCTACAGCCCCGGCTCCTTCCTACTCCCCGGGCCCGGCACCGCCACTTCCGCCTCCGCCCCCCTCCGGCACGACCCGCTCCGGCTGCGGGATACCAGGCCACGCTTTCCGAAAAGCGGGATTGGCGGACTCACGGGCAAGGGGCGGGACAAAAGGCGCGGATTGGCGGCGTGAGAGGGGCCAAACCCAAAGGGGCGGGGCAGGGGTCACCGATTGGTTGAGCAACTGGGAAGGGACGTGCAGAGCGCAGAGCTGCTTCCCTGAGCTGAGGAACGGATTTGGTCGGGAGTCCGGGGGCAAAGTCGAGTCTCCGGATTGGATCGGAGCGGACTTGGGGGAGGGTATACAAATGCAAAGAAGGGGATACGGGCAGGATTGACAGAAAGAGGCTGGAAGAGGGGCGGATGTTGAGCTGGCAGGTGCGATTTCTGGCCTCAAAGGCAAAAAGCAAAACTGGAAAGATACGATTAGGGTACTTCCCACCTCCCTTTGCAGATAATCTTCCAAGAAAACCTTTGCTGTGCGATTTATATCCTCCGCGTGGTCCGGTTGGCTCCCTCCCACTGGTCTAGAGAGGACACTACAATCTCCTAGTCGGGCTGCTTAGGTTTTCTCTTGCTTGTATCTGAAACCTAAGCTTTGGAGCTCTCCTACTGCACAGAGCTTTCATCAGTGAAACTCTGCCTAGCACCCACTGATGTTACCACATGCAGCGGGTTAATTGGTTAGAGAACCTAGAGAAACATTTCACTTGCACAGTCCCCACCCCACTCTACCCGACCCCAAAGACCACAGAGACAGGCCGTTTGCACTGGGCTGATGTATTTGCATAAAGCCGAGGAGGGGAAACGGCAGGGCCAGCGGTAGGCTGAGCTCACTGGCAGTAGAAATCCCATTTCTGAAAAAGAGAAAGGGGAAACAGTGGAGAGAAAACCAGCGGTCACACCACAAAGGATCTAGTGGTTTTAGCAAAGGCTGCAGCTGCAGGGCCCAGGTCTGGCCACACAAGTGCTATGCAAATTAGCCCAGGGCCCTCTAATCTTTGCACCTCCCAAGTGCACCCATTTTACTGGTGAGAAAATTGAGGCAGAGAAATAATTTGTCCCAGCGCATACCTCTAGGCTGGCAGGGAGCCAAGGGTAGGAGCATCTTTGCCCATTCCCACAACCTAAGGGTCCTCCCTCCGGATTTCTTGCCAGCCCCCATGACACTCACGTCTGTCTTCACATCGACTGTGGCAGGTTTCAGGATGTGGTCCTCTCGCACAATGCTACTGGGGAAATAGCCCAGGCGAGCGGCCACATCTCCATAGTAATCTCCCTGAACCTGGGGAAGAGGAGTTAAAAGCTAAGGTCTGGGAAGATGGCAAGCTTGTGCCTGCTGAAGGCCTTTGCATTCTCCCTTCTCCCTGATCTCCACATAACTGGCTCCATCCTTGCCATATGAATCTCAACTGAAATGTCACACAAATCGAATCTCAGCTTAAATATCACCTGCTCAGAGGCCCTTCCTGACCACCCAAGTCAGTCTCTGTTAATTCTCACAGCAGTGCATATTTACTTTTATTTTATGTATTTATTTATTTAGAGATGGAGTCTCGCTCTGTCGCCCAGGCTGGAGTGCAGTGGCGTGATCTCGGCTCACTGCAACCTCCACCTCCCTGCTTCAAGCAATTCCCCTGCCTCAGTCTCCCAAGTAGCTGAGATTACAGGCGTGCACCACTATGACTGGCTAATTTTTTTTTTTTTTTTTTTTTTTTTTTTTTTTGTATTTTTAGTAGAAATGGGGTTTCACCATGTTGGCCAGGTTAGTCTTGAACTCCTGACCTTAGGTAATTCACCCGCCTCGGCCTCCCATAGTGCTGGGATTAGAGGCGTGAACCACTGTGACCGGCCTGCTTTTATTATTTTGGAGACAGGGTCTCACTCTGTGGCGCAGGTTGGGGTGCAGTAGCAGGATCACAGCTCACTGTAGCCTCAACTTCTGGGCTCAAGCAATCCTTCCACCTCAGCCTCCTGAGTAGTGGGGACCACACACACGCGCCATGATGCCCAATTTATTTTTTTAATTTTTTCGTAGAGATGGGGTCTTGCTATGTTGCCCAGGCTGGCCTCGAACTCTTGAGCTCAAGCAATTCTGCCACCTTGGCCTCCCAAGTGTAAGCCACCATGCATGACTGCTGCTATTTTTTATGGCCTGCTTTTTGCTCGTTTCCCTCTATTAGAATAAAAAGAATCATTCATTGTTGTATCTTGGTGTCTAGAACAGAATATGGCACTATAGCAGATGCCCTAAAATTGGTAAATAAAGTGAAAATAGGCCAGGGAAGTTGGTTGCTCACACCTGTAATCCCAGCATTCTGGGAGGCTGAGGCAGGTGGATCACAAGGTCAGGAGTTCCAGACAAGCCTGGCTAACATGGTGAAACCCTGTCTCTACCAAAAATACAAAAATTAGCAGGGTATGGTGGCATGTGCCTGTAATCCCAGCTACTCGGGAGGCTGAGGCAGGAGAATCGCTTGAACCCAGGAGGCGGAGGTTGCAGTGAACTGAGATAGCACCATTGCACTCCAGCCTGGGTGACAGAGCAAGATTCTGTCTTGGAAAAAATAAAAAATAAATTAATTAATTAATAATATAAAGTGAAAATAGGCCAGGCATGGTGGCTCACGCCTGTAATCCCAGCACTTTGGGAGGCCAAGGCAGGCGGATCACCTGAGATCAGTAGTTCAAGACTAGCCTGACCAATATGGAGAAACCCTGTCTCTACTAAAAATACAAAAATTAGCCGGGCATGATGGCACATGCCTGTAATCCCAGATACTCGGGAGGCAGAGGTTGTGGTGAGCTGAGATTGCACCATTGCACTCCAGCCTGGGCAACAAGAGTGAAACTCAGTCTCAAAATAAATAAATAAATAAATAAAAATAAAAATAAATAAAGTGAAAATAAAGTCAGTCACAATACCCTCCCACAATGTCTATTTCAGTTCACTCTCCTCAAATCTTCCCTTCACGGGGATAATGAGTTTACCCCAGCCCTGTACCCTTCCCTCTTTCGCTCTCCCAAGACTCACGCTGCCTCCCCAGAAGAGCCGCCCGCGGCCCTTCAGCTTGGAGAAGACATACACCACTTGGCCCTGGTGAATGTTCAGGAATCGGCAGTCAGGGGCCACGTAGTCCTGAAGGGCCACAGCCATGGAGATCGGGTCTGGGGAAGGAATAGAAAGGAATGCAGTACCTTTCACACAGGCTAATACCCTGAGTCCCCATTTCTCCCCTCCCCACACTCACGGCTGCACTCCTGGTCCGCACACAGCTTCCGGTCAGCCAGCTTGGGCATGGAGCCGCCACTGACACCAGGTCCTGGGAAGGCAGACAGCAAGATGACCCCAAGGAACACCACGGACCAGGCCATCGTGGACTGTGAGCAAGGGAGTGAGCAAGGGGGTACCTGGGTCTCCAATTTCCTTCCGTCCCTCTCTCCCGCAGCACAAGGAAACTTGTGTTCTTGGTCTTGTCCCCGCCCTTAACCAGTCCCAAATTTCACCCACACCACCTAGAGGTTGCTACCCAGCCAGAACCATTTCAAGGATAGGGTAAAGGCTGCAAGCCCAGGGAAATTCCCAGGTAAGGTCCAAAGCAGCTCACAGCTTTCCAACCAACAGCCCCCTCCTCAGCGATCACAGAGGCCCAGACAAGGAGGTTGAGGTATTCAATTCCATCTTCTCTTTAGTTGGCTTAGGTACCTGGGCTCCATCGGAGGAGCCTGTAAGGAAAACCACCTTGGAATTTCCTGTGCCGTTGGGCAGAAGAACAAGGCAGCCTTTGATCATGAGAAACAGCCCAGCCCTGACTGAATATCGTATTTTCAACCTTAGGCTAGGCAATGTCCCACCATGGTCACTATTCCTCCACACCAGCCGCTTCCTACTGGATGACCTGGGCTAAGCTATTTCTCCTCACAGAGCCTCAGATTCCTTGTATGTAAAATGGGGACAATAATAAAAGCCTGGCCAGGAGCGGTGGCTCATGCCTGTAATTGAGGCCAAGGCAGGGAGATCACGTGATCAGGAGTTCGAGACCATCCTGGCCAACATGGTGAAACCCTGTCTCTACTAAAAATACAAAAATTAGCAGGGTGTGGTGGCACATGCCTGTAGTTCCAGCAACTCGGGAGGCTGAGGCAGGAGAATCGCTTGAACCCGGAGGCAGAGGTTGCAGTGAGCCGAGATCATGCCACTGCACTCCAGCCTGGGTGATGGAGCAAGACTCGTTCTCAAAATAATAAAAGCCAACAGTTATGGAGCATTCACTAAGTATGTATTTATGTTATGAACTCAAATGGATACTCTGTATCATGTCAGGAGGAGTAATTATAACCCTCTCCCATATTTTTTTTTTGTTTGAGACAGGGTGTCACTCTGTTGCCCAGGTGGAGTGCAATGATGCCATCACGGCTCACTGCAGCCTCAACCTCCTAGACTCAGGCAATCCTCCCACCTCAGCCTCCTAACTGGGACTAGAAGCACAAGCTACCTATGCCCGGTTAATCCATTTTTTTTTTAAAGATTATTTTGAGAGAGGGTCTTGCTCTGTTGCCCAGTTTGGAGTGCAGTGGCATAATCATGGCTCACTGTAGCCCCTACTTCCCGGGCTCAGCCTCCTGAGTAGTTAGGACCACAGACACACACCATCAGGGCCAGCTAATTTTTTGTGTTTTTTGATAGAGACAAGGTTTCGTCATGTTGCCCAGGCTCATCTCAAACTCTTGGGCTCAAGCAATCTGCCCACCGTGGCCTTCCAAAGTGCTGGAATTACAGGCATGAGCCACCAAGTCCCGCCTAATTTAATTTTTTGAGGCAGGATCTTGCTGTTGCTCAGGCTGAAGTACAGTGATGTGATCATAGCTCGCTGTGTCCTTGAACCCCTGGGCTCACGAAATCCTCCCCTCTCAGCCTCCCGAGTAGCTGGGACCACAGGTGGGCCACCATGCTTGAATGATTTTTTTTTTTTTCATTTTTGTAAAGCTGATGTCTTACTACGTTGCCTGGGCTGGTCTAGAACTCATGTTCCCAAGCAATCCTCCTGCCTTGGCCTCCCAAAGCACTGGGATGAGCCACCAATGCCTGGCCTATAACCCCTTGTTACATGGAAATGGAAGTATTAAGGAACTTGTCTAAGGCTTATACCGCCAGAAGTGGAGAAGTGGAGAAGCTAACATTGTATCCAGGCCCACAGCCATTGCTATAGTATCTTTAGCATCTCTATAGATATATCTATAGTATCTTTAGTTTTTTTGTTTGTTTTTGAGATGGAGTCTCATTATAGTGCAGTGGTACAATCTTGGCTCACTGCAACCTCCATCTCCCAGGTTCAAGAGGTTCTCCTGCCTCAGCCTCCCGAGTAGCTGGGATTATAGGCACCCACCATTTCACCGGCCTAGTTTTTTTTTCTTTTTTTTTTTTTTGAGACCCAGTTTCACTCTTGTTGCCCAGGCTGGAGTGCAATGGCGTGGTATCAGCTCACCAAATCCTCTGCCTCCCAGGTTAAAGTGATTCTTCTACATCAGCCTCCCGAGTAGCTAGGATTACAGGCATGTACCATCATGCCTGGCTATTTTTTTAATTTTTAGTAGAGATGGCGTTTCTTCATGTTGGTCAAGTTGGTCTTGAACTCCTAACCTCAGGTGATTCGCCCCCCTCAGCCTCCCAAAGTGCTGGGATTACAGGGGTGAGCCACCACGCCTGGTCTCGTCTTTGTATTTTTAATAGATTTGGGGTTTCACCATGTTGGCCAGGCTGGTCCCTAACTCCTGACCTCAAGCGATCTGTCTGCCTCAGCCTCCCAAAGTGCCGGGATTATAGGTGTGAGCCACAGTGGCTGGCCTACCATGCTGTCTTACAGGGCCGTATTCGGGGTTAAACACATCCATTCAATGGATTTGCAGGGCACACAGAGGGCAAAGGAACATGTTAAGGATCTCGCAACAACGCAACCAACAAATCCAAAAGTGTGTCAATAAGACAAACTGCCTGAGAAGAGGGAAAAAATGGGCCTGAGGGGTGGCCTAGATTTTCAAAAGATGTTAAGAACCATAGCAGCAGTCACAACGTGTAGACCTTACTTGGAGTCTGATTTAAAGTGTTTACAGACTTATGTATAAAAATATTGAAAATCTGAACACTAGTCACATATGTAGTGATGGTAAAAAACTTACTGTTTTGGGTGTCGTCACAGCATTGTGGTTATTTTTCGGATACACAGATGCTCCTCAATGCATGATAGTGTTAAATCCTGATGAACCCACTGTTAAGTTGAAAACATTTAAGTGGAATTTTTTTTCTTTTCACTCTCTCATCGAGGAATGACTCAGGCTCACTATAACCTCCACCTCCCTGGGTTCAAGCAATTCTCCCACCTCAGCTTCCTGAGTAGCTGGAACCACAGCGGCACGCCACCACACCCGGCTAATTTTTTTATGTTTTGGTAGAGACAGGGTTTCACTATATTGGCCAGGTTGGTCTCGAACTCCTGACCCCATGACCTGCCTGCCTCAGCCTCCTAAAGTGCTGGGATTATGGGCATGAACCATTGTGCCAGGCCTGAATTTTTTTTTTTTTTTAAACAGACAGGGTGTCACTCTGTGTCTGTCCCCAAGGCTGGAGTGCAGTGCCGCAATCACAGCTCACTCAGCCTTGACCGATTGGGCTCAACCTATCCTCCCACCACAGCCTTCTAAGTAGCTGCGACTTAAAGTGTGAGCCACTGCACCTGGCTTCAAAATGCAATTTTTTTTTTTTGAGATGTTTCACTCATTGCCCAGGTTGGTGTGCAGTGGTGCGATCTTTGCTCACTGCAACCTCTGCCTCCTGAGTTCAAGTGATTCTCCTGCCTCAGCCTCCCAAGTAGCTGGCATTACAGGCGTGCACCAGCAAACCTTGTATTTTTAGTAGAGATGGGGTTTCACCATGTTGGTCAGGCTGGTCTCGAACTCCTGACCTCAAGTGACCCACCGACCTCGGCTTCCCAAAGTGCTGGGCTTATGGGCATGAGCCACTGCACACAGCCCTGAAATGCATTTAATACCTGGATAAGCCCACTATGAAGTCAAAAAACTGTAAACTGAACCACAGTGAGTTGAAGACTATCTGTACTTAAACACTGATTGAGAGTGAGCTAATAGGATGTCTTCTCAAAATAATTTGAAGAGGAGAGTGGAGGCCCGCTTGAAATTCAGATGGCCACAAGTTGGTACGTGAAGCTGGTGGAAGGGAATATGAAAGTCCAGGAAACTACTGTCTTTTTTTAAAAATTATCATTATGTATGTTTTAACTTTTCCACTTTAAAACATTCTTTAAAAAAATTATTCCTTTGGCCGGGGTGGTGGTTCACGCCTGTAATCCTAGCACTTTGGGAGGCGGAGGGGGGCGGATCATGAAGTCAGGAGTTTGAGACCAGCCTGTCCAAAATAGTGAAACCCCATCTCTACTAAAAATACAAAAAATTAGCTGGGCATGGTGGCGGGCGCCTGTAATCCCAGCTACTTAGGAGGCTGAGGCAGGAGAATCACTCAAACCCAGGAGGTGGAGGTTGCAGTGAGCTGAGATGTCGCCAATGCACTCTAGCCTGGGCAACAGTGTGAGACTTTGTCTAAAAAAAAAAAAAAAATTACTCCTTCATTCAGGCTGGGTGCAGTGGCTCACTCTTGTAATCCCAGCACTTTGGGAGCTGAGGTAGACAGATCACTTGAGGACAGGAGTTTGTGATCAGCCTGGCCAACAAGGTGAAAATACATAAATTAGCCAGGTGTAGTGGCACACACCTGTAGTCCCAGCTACTTGGGAAGCTGAACCAGAATCACTTGAACCTGGAAGGTGGAGGTTGCAGTGAGCCAAGATCATGCCACTGCACTCCAGCCTGGGCGACAGAGTGAGACCCTGTCTCAAAAAAAAAAAAAAATTACTCCTTCATTCAGGCTGGGTGCAGTGGCTCACTCTTGTAATCCCAGCACTTTGGGAGCTGAGGTAGACAGATCACTTGAGGACAGGAGTTTGTGATCAGCCTGGCCAACAAGGTGAAAATACATAAATTAGCCAGGTGTAGTGGCACACACCTGTAGTCCCAGCTACTTGGGAAGCTGAACCAGAATCACTTGAACCTGGAAGGTGGAGGTTGCAGTGAGCCAAGATCATGCCACTGCACTCCAGCCTGGGCGACAGAGTGAGACCCTGTCTCAAAAAAAAATAAAATAAATAGCCAGGTGTAGTGGCACACACCTGTAGTCCCAGCTACTTGGGAAGCTGAACCAGAATCACTTGAACCTGGAAGGTGGAGGTTGCAGTGAGCCAAGATCATGCCACTGCACTCCAGCCTGGGCGACAGAGTGAGACCCTGTCTCAAAAAAAAAAAAAAAAAAAAAAAAAAAAATATTTTTTTACTTTTATAAAAATTTAAAAAAAAAAAAAAAAAAAGAATCAGCTGTGGGGACTATGTCCCCTGCCCCATATTACAGATGAAGCCACAAAGACGTAGTAGTGACTTCAATTCCCAAAGACAAATGCATGTATCTACTGCTGCATAATTACCCTAAGACCAACACTGGCTGAGTGCAGTTGCTCATGCCTGTAATCCCAGCTCTTTGGGAGGCCGAGACAGGACTGCTAGAGCCTAAGAGTTCAAGACCAGCCTATGTAACACAGTGAGACCCTTTAGCTACAAAAAGGAAAAAAAAAGAAAAGAAAAACTAGCTGGGCATGGTAGTATGCACCTGTAGTCCCAGCCACTCAGGAGGCTGAGGTTGGAGGATCACTTGAACCCAGAAGGTAGAGGCTACAGTGAGCTGTGATCCTGGCACTGCACTCTAGAGCAAGACCCTGTCTAGAAAAAAAGACCAAAATTATCACCTTTTCTGTGGGTTGGATGCCTCAGGCTCAAGGTCTGCTTTAAGGCTGCAGTCAGCCTGTCAGCCAGCGCTGCAGTTTCATCTGAAGGCTGGACTGTGGGAGGACTGCTTCCAAGCTCATTCAGGCAGCTGTTGGGGAGATTCAGTTGCTTGTGGAAACTAGACTGAAGGTCCGTGTTTTTTCTTTACATGTGGACCTCTCCAGATAGCTCACAACACGGCAGCTGGCTTTCCCAACAGCAAGACAGGGGCCAGTCTTTGTATCCACCCTTTGTACTCTCCCTCCATATTGCAGCCACAGTAACATGGCCACTAAGAAGTACAATTCCTTTTTTTCTTCTTTTTTGAGATGGAGTCTCACTCTGTCATCCAGGATGGAGGCTAGAGTACAGTGGCACAATCTCAGCTCACTGCAACCTCTACCTCCCACGTTCAAGTGACTTTCCTACCTCAGCCTCCAGAGTAGCTGGGACAACAGGCATGCACCACCACACCCGGATACCTTTTGTATTTTTAGTAGCAAGTTTCACCATGTTGGCCAGGCTGGTCTCAAACTCCTGACCTCAAGTGATCCACCCACCTCAGCCTCCCAAAGCTTTGAGATTACAGGTGTGAGCCACCAGGCCCAGCCATGTTTTATTGAACACAATGCAAATGGCAGCCCCTGGAGTTCTCCCTACTTCCTAGTGCTCAAATACTGAGCTCACTCTTACCCCAGGACCTCTGCACTTCCTCCAGATCTTCACAAGCCAGGCTCCTCCAGATCACTTGGGGCTCCCAAGGATTTCAGCTCTGGACTTTGCTGACCACCTTATGTAATGTTGCCCCCTCAGCTTCCAACTTCCACGTTGCCAAGGAGAAAAATAAGTCTCAGAGGAGTCTGGTCACTTGCCCGAGGTCAGAATGAAGAAACAACGGAGAATCTGAACTCATTTTTCACCTCCAAACTGCTTCAGAGATCCACAGGCTCAGCATCCTTCTCCAGAGGGTCCGCCTCACTCCCAGAGACCCTCACTTCTGGACTGGCAAGTCCAGGTTTTTTATTTTTCTTGAGATGGAGTCCCTCTCTTGATGCCCAGGCTGGAGTGCAGTGGCGCAGTCTCGGCTCACTGCAACCTCTGCTTCCTGGGTTCAAGTGATTCTCCTGCCTCAGCTTCCCGAGTAGCTGGGACTACAGGCACGTGCCACCAGGCCTGGCTAATTTTTTGTATTTTTAGTAGAGACAGGGTTTCACCGTATTAGCCAGAATACTTTTTTTTTTTTTTTTTTTTAATGGAGTCCTGCACTGTCGCCCAGACT